CTTCCACCACACTCCAGGGCAGAGAGTTCCACTGCTGAACAGCTCTCACAGTCAGGAAGTTCTTCATGTTCAGATGGAATCTCCTTTCCTATAGTTTGAAGCCGTTGTTCCATTGTGTCCTAGTCTCCAGGGCAGCAGAAAACAAGCTTGCTCCCGCCTCCCTATGACTTCCCCTCACATATTTATACATGGCACTCATCATGTCTCCCCTCAGCCTTCTCTTCTTCATGCTAAACATGCTCAGCTCTTTAAGCCTCTCCTCATAGGGCTTGTTCTCCAGACCCTTGATTATTTTAGTCGCCCTCTTCTGGGCACATTCCAGCTTGTCACTATCTCTCTTGGTGGAGTTTGAGGGAAATAGACCTTGGCATTTGGGAATTGTAGTTTTCTGATGGTCTTTGACAACCCCTCTGGCACCCCCTCGTGACCCTCCCAGGAGTCCTGACCCCCAAGTTGAGAAATGCTGGTCTAGAGGCTGTTTTGGGGGGAGCAACTCAGGACAATAATGCCAAACTCTTAACTTAGTTTGTGGTTTCTCTCTATACATTATAACTGTATTCTCAATTTGTTTCTGACACGATAAAAAATACCCATCCCTGGTGATGGAGGAAGCTGGATAAAACTTACCTGTCAAAGAATAAATAAGAAAGCAGAAGAGCATGGACATCACTGATACCACTACCCAATGGGAGAGCTTCTTGTTGCTCATGCTGCTGTAGATGGCAATGCAGGCTTCATGGCACTGAAACATGAAAAGGTTTGGTGTTCACTGCCAAAAGAACCCCTGAAGGTGCCAGTCACAGATGCAGGTGAAATGTTAGGAGAGAATGCTGTTGGAACATAGCCATACAGCTTGAAAAACTCACAGCAACCCAGATACCTCTTTTTTTTTTTTTGAAGTATTTGGAAAAACTTTTTAAATTTCCTAAAAATTTTGTGGATGAGTGAAACGTTCTGAAATTTGGGAGACTTACAGTTGTAAATGCGTTCTACAAGTGTGGCAAATTCCATCCTGACAGCCATTTTTTAATTTTTTCAATACTCTGAGGATTTTTGTTTTGGGTCAGGAAACATCAAAATTTTCAGGGGGTCCCCTGGGTAATGTCCTTGTAGACGGCCAATTCTCTCACACCAGAAGCAACTTGTTCTGAGGCTGAGAGGGTGTGACTCGCCCAAGGTGCTTAAATTGGAAAAAAATCCTAAAAATCAGTGGATGAATCATAGAATCATAGAATCATAGAGTTGGACGAGACCTCATGGGCCATCCAGTCCAACCCCATTCTGCCAAGAAGCAGGACTATTGCATTCAAATCATCCCTGACAGATGGCCATCCAGCCTCTGTTTAAAAGCTTCCAAAGAGGAGCCTCCACCACACTCCGGGGCAGAGAGTTCCACTGCTGAACAGCTCTCACAGTCAGGAAGTTCTTCCTCGTGTTCAGATGGAATCTCCTTTCTTGTAGTTTGAAGCCATGATGTAGTTTGAAGCCAAGATGAGCAGATCTTTCTGAAACTTAGCAGGAATGATGCCCTACTCATATTCTGTCACTGTGGAGAAATTCAACCTCTCCGGGGGGAGCGGGGAATAAGACACTTTACTTGTAGAAAATTAAAAAAATTCCTAAAAATCAGTGGATAAGCAAAATTTTCTGAAACTTGAGAAGCTTATAGTTGTGAATATGTCCTATGAGTGTCCCAATTTTCATCCTAAGAGCCATCCTAAGAGCCATAGAGTTACAGCCTGTGTTGGACGGGGTGACACTCCCTCTGAAGACACAGGTTCGCAGTTTGGGAATGATCCTGGACTCATCGCTGAGCCTGGAGCCCCAGGTCTCGGTGGTGGCCGGGAGAGTTTTTGCACAATTAAAGCTTGTGCGCCAGCTGCGTCCATTCCTTGGGAAGTCTGACTTGGCCACAGTGGTCCACGCTCTGGTTACATCCCGAATAGACTACTGCAATGCTCTCTATGTGGGGCTGCCTTTGAAAACTTCTCGGAAGCTCCAATTAGTCCAGCGGTCGGCGGCCAGGTTGTTAACTGGAGCTGCGTCTAGGGAGCGTACCACTCCTCAGTTGCACCAGCTCCACTGGCTGCCGATTAGCTTCCGGGCACAATTCAAAGTGCTGGTTTTAACCTTTAAAGTCCTGAACAGTTCTGGTCCAGATTACCTGTCTGAACGTATCTCCTGCTATGAACCATCATGAAGGTTAAGATCATCAGGAGAGGCCCTGCTCTCGATCCCACCACTCTCGCAAACACTGTTAGTGGGGATGTGAGACAGGGCCTTCTCGGCAGTGGCCCCCCATCTGTGGAACTCTCTCCCTAGGGATATCAGGTTGGCCACCTCCCCCCTGTCCTTTAGAAGACAACTGAAGACCTGGCTCTGGGGCCAGGCGTTCGATGAGAGGCCAGCGGCAATAGGAAAAGGAAATTTGGATTTTGCAATATGGATTCTCCTGGCTCGGCTTGGTTTTTACTGGCAAGTTAATCTATTAATTTATTGTTAAATTTCAGTGATGATGATGTACAATGTTTTAAAATGATTTTATGGTGAATTGCAATTTTTATGGTATTTATGCTGTTAGCATCCTCTGATGCTCACGTGAGGCTGCGCTGAGTCCCTCTTGTCGGGAGAAGGGCAGGATATAAATACATAAAGTAAATAAAGTAAATAAATAAATAAAAATGCCAGAGAGTTTAGCCTCTAAATTTCACCCACTGCCACCAATGAAACAAAACTAACAAAAGATAACAAATTTTCAGAAATTATCTGACATTAAAGCACACCCATCGAACTTTTTTGAAATACTTTTTTAGAAATGCACAGGGACATGCAAATTTTGAAATTTGTAAAGTGCTTTTAAACTATCATTAGTGAAAATTTCGTTACTATAGTGAGACTAACAAAAATTCGTTACTATTTTGTCACAGTAATTGCACATGCAATCATTACTACCACTGGAGAAACTTCAGGGGTTCCTATCTCCCTCATTTTTAAAGCTATTGGTAGAGTGGTACAACACATTTACCACTCTTAGCCCACCAAATTACCCCCATATTTTTGGGGAATTTTGACTTGGGTCAAACCTACATATAAACACAACAATAGGAAGAAATTGCTATCTATTACCTGAAATCCAAAGCAGATGGTTGGTATAACGCTGAACATGGAGGTCCAAGAATAGACCCTGGAATGGAAACATGGTGCGTGAGAGAGAAGCACTTGTCCAACTCATCATAAATAGACAAACAAACAGAGCATGTGTTTATCGACTATATAAAGCAAATGGCACCATATGAGATGAAACATGCTGGTAAGGATTTGCTTCCACAAAGCCAATAACTGGAATGAGCAAGCCAACTCAAACGCTGTACTACAATGTCATGTCACACTTCCATGAGTTTGTTTTTACAATGCATTTTAACTGGCAGCTACAGAAACAGTCATGGGTTGCATTTATACTTTAGAGCAGTGTGTCTCAACCTTCCTAATGCCACGACCCCTTAATACACTTCCTCATGTTGTGGTGACCCCCGATCATAACATTATTTTCATTGCTACTTCATCCCTGTAATTTTGCTCCTGTTATGAATCGTAATGTAAATATCTGATATGCAGGATGTGTTTTCATTCACTGGAC